CGCCCGGCCGCCCAGGTCACCCTCGGCCGCTCCCGGACGACCACTGCGCAGGCGCGGCGGGCCGGCGGCCAACGGCTCCGGCTTCAGGGAGCCCTTCCACAGCCCCCGCCAGGGGGCGCCACGCCGCTTCCCGCCAAATTCCCGCCCCGTGGCCAGCGCGGCCGTCCAACCGCACCGCAGGCGGAGGGCCGGGGCAAGGGGCAAGGCTGGGAAGCGAGGTCTGCGCGCCTGCCCCTCACCTCCCACCCGCGCGGCCGTGCGGCCGCCGGTTCCCGACAGCGCGGCCGAGCAGCGTGGCCTCTGCGTCCCCAGCTCGCCGCATTCACCTCTCCAGCCCCACGCGGCGGGGGCTGCCGCCACACCGCACCAGGTGCCTCCTGTTGCCCGCTGAGACGTGCCCAGCTGGGCACCCTCGCGCTCCGGCGCTCGCATCCCTGTGCTTCCCCGCCTCCCGCGGCGTGGCGCGGGACTGGGACCCGACGGCTCGGTAGCTTTTTGCCGCTCTCCCTCCCTTTGGACAGCAGGGGGAGCTGTTGCCTTTCAAATACTTCACCATCCGATTCTTACTCTCTGGTGGTGTAAGAGGTAAGGGATCTCTTTTTTTTTCCTTGTCTGGAAAAAGTGTAGATAGATAGTTTGTGGCTACAGTAAATAAAATATAGTATTAAAATACAAAGTCATTTCTTCAAAATATATAAAAGGTAGAATTTGAAAGTCCTCCTGTGTTAACCTGACTTCATGCCAGGTATACAATTCTGGAACATCAGCCGCTCTACTTGACAGGAGACAGCTTGCAGGCCACTCTTCTGCTCCGCTTCTGCATGGCGCGCTTTCCACGCGGCCTCATCTATCTTCCCTGCGGTTCTGCCTCAGTTTCCTTCTGCGTAAGATAAACTTCCCTCCCTACCACTCCATGGGTGTGCTGCGACGCTCCACAGCAACATCGTGTTGGCTGGAAAAAGCACAGGTTGGTCTAGTTTGAACAACGCTGAAAAATTTATGTGGAAACTTCAGTTTTTACTAGTTTTATAATTTCTAACTATTCTTTGATATTTTACAGATAATAATTTAAGGGAAAAGTCTTTGTGCAGATAGCTTAGTCCTATGTGCAGACCTTGTAGAAGTGATTAAAAATACAGAATTATTTTTACAAGCCAGCTGACTGTGATGGTATACCATCCAACTGTCCTTCAAAATAAAATTTAAAAAATCAAATCCTGCTGCATTAGGTGCCTAGGTGAAAGTATTCAGAATCCAGCCTGCCCCCATTTCCTGATCAGTTCAAGCACTTAATTGTTTGGGCCATGAACTCATTCATTTAATTATTTCACCGACGTTAACAGAGTACTGGCCCTCTGCTAGGCGGATGCTGAGCCTTGTGGATAGGGGGGTTGAACACAGCACCCACAGTCCCCACCTTCAGGGAACGTGAACAAAAGGCGCCCCCTCTGCTGTGATCGTCCGAGTGTACGGCACAGCAGATCCTCCTGATGTCTGTGGATGTGTGACAGAAGATTGAGCGAACTGGTATAAACCGAGGAAGTGAGGAATGACAGTTCTCTACAAGTTTAGACTCTACTGGGTCAGGCACCGCTCTCTGCCAATAACAAATCTCATTCTGCTTCTTTATGCTGTCATGTACTGCATAGGCTTGATCCATCTGGCTACATGTCATGTGACATGAATGTCGTGGAGGACCACCCGGCCTACTCTCCTGAAGGAAGAACCATTGTCTCCATTTTGGCTGAACCCGACCCTATTTCCATGTATTGATATGTACAGAGCTAGCTAGGACTTTTCCTTATACCTTCACTGGCTTTAAGCAATGCATATCAGTCCAGCTGTGGTGCTGCTGATGGTAGTCTTTGCAGATGACAGGCGTGTTTCCTGGAGGGACCCGAGCCCCGTTGTTCCCTTGTGTGAGCAGGATGAAGAGCCTATGCTCCAGGCTGTCCACTGGGATAAGCCTCAGAGGCTATGACTTCCTGGGGCTTGAAAGATTACACATCAGAGCTGAAGCACCGACCCCAAAACATTAGATGCTGCCTCAGTTGTGTTATGCAGATTACTCTTTCTGCAGATCCTTCTCTGCATTTTGCAGAGGTGATTTCAGGCCTCCTACCTAGCCCAGCTCACAGCACTCACCTACTTCCCGCCATTCTGTGTCATTCATCCTCAAGCCACTCCCTTCCCACAAATTAATAAAACCCAGGTTTGGCCCTGGGTTGAGGCCTTTGTTCCACAAAGCCATCACTGTGGCTGGACTTGCGACCCCTTGGCTCCCCCTAACTACAAACATGCCTTAGTGTCTTTATTCTCGCCATGGGTTGCACTGGAACTGGTAGATTGGAATTAACTCACTAGGATTCCAATAACTTTTCCGTGGCATTGCAAATATAAACTTCCTGGGCCACACTGAGGACCGGAAAGGGCTCTTTATAAAGGTCAGATCTCCACCTGAGGACCAGGGCCTTCTTCCTCAACACCTTGCTGGCTTACTCCCATTCCGTCCACCCTCTGCATCTCATAAGTTCAGAAGCCCCTCTTTTCTCTGGGTGTGAGGAAACTATGTCCCTTTTCAGGACATTTATTAAGTATCTAGATTTTTTTTAAATGCATTTGGGCTACTTAATCTTGGCCTGATCTCACCACACTCCTCTTCCCCTCCTTGTATTATGTTGCCTATCCCCACGAGCTACGTCGTGTCTATTTTGTGACAGAGCAGTGCGTGTGGCTTGAGGTCACTGACCTTCACAGCCCAGGCTGAGGTGGCCTTTTCAGTTGGCTTTCAACACGTAGGCAAATTATAATTTTTGTATTTTTTCTTTTAAGTACAGTATCTTAAAATCTCTGAATATATAGATTGAACCAATATGAGCATTATATAGAAGTAAATATAATATTATAAAAATCAGTTAGTGTGCTGACCCAAGTGGAAGGCTGTCTCTGTGGAATCCCTGGTTCTCGAACTTTCCTGTGCCTAAGAAATCACCTGGACGGTTTGGTAGAGAAGAAGACTCTGACCACATCCCCCAAAAGAACTATTTATTAGGTCTGAGCTGGAGCCCCGGATTCTGCAGTATGGGAATCTCCCAGGTAAGTAAAGGACAACCATCTTTTGAAAAGCATGTGTCCCAGATAAAAGATCACAGGGGAAATAGAACATTACGTTTTTACAGTTAACATCTGCAAGGAATAAAAAAGCCAAAAAGAGGTGACATGGATGCTGTGATCAGCACCAGTCTCTGTGCTTTACCCCTTAGCCCCCATTTCTACCCACAGCATTGTCTCCCATATCCAATAAACTTAGTAGCATTCTAGAAGAAAATTTCTAACCTTGCCTCTTTTTCACTGTGACAGCTGCTTCTAGGAAGAGTTAAACCTCAGGTCTTTGGTTATAAGCCATCGAATCCCTCTGATCGCTGCCTCATCTGCTGATACTAACATATTTCCCTGAAAATAAGACCAAGTCTTAATTAATTTCGCTCTGAGAGACACACTAAAACTTATTTTCAGGGGATGTCTTATTTTTTCACATATAACAGTCTACATTTATTCATGCTCAAAAATTTTATTCAAACACAGCCAGGTCGTCTTCTGAAGCATCATCATAACTCTCCAAACGCAGAATTCCTGCCTTAATTTCTTGGGACTCCACTTCCTGTAGATTGGCCCCCATCTGTCATGTCTCACAAGAGAGCTGTCCTCACACGAGGACGTCTCATCCATGTAGCCTGATCAAGGTGCATGGGCCACACAGCGGTCAGGGATCTCATCCCAGGAACTCATCATCTGAGTCACGACTCCTAGCACACCGCGCTTCACGATGTTTCCATTAAATCAAGTGTCCGTGGAAGATGGATGAGACAAGAGTGGCAACAAAACTGATGACAGTTAAGGATGACGGTCCTCACAAAGGGAGGGAAAAATTGCAGGCATCAAAATCCAGAAACCATTTATTTCACACAAGTACATGGAGCGCATCTGTTACAACATACAGTGTATTGAATGGTAAGATTTTTATTAGACACAGCCACATCTGTCTGTTAGCGAGCGCGCACATTACTTGTGCACTGTCTGTACTCGCTGGCCATTCAGCAATGTCTTGAGTTTATCTGTTTACACAGGAGTTTACCTCTCATCCCAAGGTGGCCACTTGGGTATTTACAAATAATTATAATTTACGTGATCATTTATTTTAAGTACTAATGTCAAGAATAGCTCATTTATATTTAATTAATATCATTATTTTATAATTCCATACATCTCTTGTGTTGCAGTGGATGAACTAAATGCACCTGACTGATGATTTTAACTAGGGCTTATTTTCAGGGTAGGACTTACATTACAAACATCCTGAAAAGTCACGCTGAGGCTGATTTTCTGATTAGATCTTATTAGGGGGGCACAGTATGTGACACAGGAAGGGCCATAAAGTCAGCTAGTTCTCACAAGAGCTGCCAGCTAGCTGTCTTACTGCCTGAAAGCTGATCACCTGCCTTTATTTAGAGCGGCAATCTTTATTGAGACTGATTTTAGCTCAGGAGATTCCATTGGTGGGTTTCTTTCTGTTGAGAGACTTGTTTTTACACTTTGATCCATTTATTAGAATAAAGAAGACAAATGTAAAACTATTAAATTCTGAGTAGAGGGCCCTGTGCTTAGAACCCAGTAGGCTTTCCGGTCAGGAAGAAATTTAAATGATAATGGCAGTGACCCCCACGCGGAAGCTTTGGTCTATATTTTAAGAGCACCTGGAGTGTTTGCTCTGTCCTCCCTAGGACCTTCGAAGTTAGAGTCCAGTGCCTGGTGACCTTTACCAAATCTGCAAGGGCATGGTAACTAAATAACTCTCGATAAATGCCTGGTCATTTTCTCAACCACTGTGGTTTTTAGTACACCTTTCCTGTCTTGCTTTGTTTATGGGGATTTTTATTGAGAGAGAAATATCTTTGAATACGAAGTATCTATGAACTTCCCTTAGCCACAGAAACAAATGAAAGGATCTGTGAAGGAATTAGTACAGATGTTCTTTGAAAGATTCCAGTTTCAGGATGGCACACAAAGCATACTTTTGCATCCCCTTCTCCACACCTTAGTAATACAGAAAAATAAATTCTTCTGAAGAAGAAAGCCAGGTCTTCCACTAAGGGCAGAGGCTCGTAGAGAAAGAGACCTGGCACCAGATGACAGCCTTGCCAGCCACCTGTGTCATCACAAACACGTACGGATTTTAAGTTAGCATGCTGAGGCTTAAGATGATATTTTGTCTATAAAACAAGCATGGGTTTGCCTAAGCTAAAAGAACTTTTTGAAAAATGTGCTTAGTAGGGACAAGAATAGGGGAGGTGTGTAAGATCTAAATTCATCAACATTCCTGTCAGGACCTCTGAAGCCCTCACTTAATGGTGGAAAATAAGTTAGAGGCAACATCCTTGGATTAGGAAGATGTCAGTCAAAAGAGTTCTCCCTGGGAAGTGAAATTGAAACAGCTCTGTGGTGGATTGACAGCTGGTGGTCAACTTGTAACCCCCAGCTAACTGAACCAGCGTGGTGCCAGTGTGGGAGGCCCACCTAAGGATGTTGCTGGCAGGGGCTGGGGATTTAGCTCAGCGGCAAAGCGCCTGCCTGGCAAGTACAAGGTCGTGAGTTCAGTTCCCGGTACCGGAGAAAAACAAAAAAAAAAAAAAAAAGAAAAGAAATAGGATGTTGCTGGCAGCGTGAGAGGCAGACCTGGAGAAGAGGAGAAGCTGCTGGGAAGCTGTAGGGAGCTGTGGGTATTCCTGGGGGAGCTTGTCATGCTGGCTTTCCTGATGAACTTGGTTGTTCTCTTCATCAAAGGAGCTCAGGACTTTACTGTTGCTGAGAATGGCTTCAGTTCACTTTGGGGAAGCTCTGGTCCTCACTTTGAACATCGCTTCCTGGCTCCGGAGGGGATGATGGTGCACCACTTGGTCTCCAGGAGAAGCTTGTTGTGTTGGCTTTTCTGATGGGAGCTCGGCTGTCCTCATCATAGGAGCAGTCGGGACTTCGTTGCTGAGGATGGCTATGGTACTTTTCAGAGGAGCTCTGGTTCTTACTTTGAGCATCACTTCCTGGCCCCAGTGCAGATCCCTCAGCCTGGTAGCATAGATCCTTCCTTCCACTGACACAGACTTTCGAGCCTCTACTACTGACCTTTGGGCCTTCCCAGCGCAGATCCATGAAACAGGCCTGTGCGAGACATTGTCATGGGCTCTCGGCCTCCAGCTGGAATTGGCGGGGGGGCATCGTGATGGACTCTAGGTATTCAGCTCGACTCATGTAGGACATTACCATGGGATCCAGACCTACAGCTGGATTCTTTGGTCTTTAGTGCATGGACAGATTTTCTGTACTCTCTCTGTATATGATTCTTTGGGTGACTTATAAATAATCCTATAAAACACATGTCCTGTATTGTACTGTTCCTCTTGCAAAACCCCTGACTACAACAAGCACATACTCTGATTTGTTCTAATAACTGAGGTGATGGTAGTGTCAATCCTCGTGTAAATCAAACCCTTGAAGCACTTACCTTCACCTCCAGCCTCAAATATGTGGCCTTGCTGGGTCACGTGGTGACTAAAGTTTCCCAGATTGGCTTCAAATTCAAGGTAGTAGCCTAAATAAATTGGAAGTAGAGGAATTCAGGGAGAAAAAGCTATTGAAGACCTTTTCATAAGTAACCGACTCTTCCGCCATCTTGAAGCCTCCGGTGGCTCTGTAGTCTTGTGAATGGACATGGATTGTGGTTTGGGTGCTCTTATGGATAAGAGCTAAAGCTTTCACTTTCAGGGCACATATAGGCCTTGAGTTGGCTCTTCTCCTTGTTTCAAAACTTTAGGTAGTTACTTTTTAAAGTTTCTTTCTCTCTTCTCAATTGCAAAAGACTCTACCTCTACTGCCTTAAACAACGAACCAAAGGACTGACATGATGAATGTAAGAGATTTTGTTTCCCAGAAGACTGGGGGAGCCATAGAAAGGCTCCCCTGATCTCTTAGGAGCTTACTATTTCTCAAGTGGCTAAAGAGCCCCTGGGTGGCTCCACCCTTCTGTCTAGGGGGTCAGTGGGTCATAGTGCTGAGATTTCTAAAGCAAAGAGAGCCCTGGGGGCCTCTAGTCTTCTAGGAAGGCATTGGTGCCACCACCATTTTGGACAGAGACATCTGTCTAACACTCTGACCTTTGGGCCTTCCCAGCGCAGATCCATGAAAAAGGCCTGTGTGAGACATTGTCATGGGCTTTTGGCCTCCAGTTGGAATTGTGGTGGGGGGGCGCACAATTTCACTTCCCAGGGAGAATTAACACATCATTCTCACAAAGGATGCATGCAATGCCATCCAAAGGACAGCAGTCTTAGTTCTCTCACCATAGGCCTCAAGATGTCCCATGGCAAATGTCCTTAAAAAAACAGCCCCCAGATCTCAGGGACCTCCCCATTAGGCCACATCCAAAATTTGGAAGAATTTGACCCTGACAGTCTGAAAAATGAACAGCTTATCTGCATTTGCAATACATTTTGGGTACAGGAGGAAGTAGGGAATGGCAAGAGATGGGTCAGAACGGCAGTTTAGACTACAACACTATTTTTGCAAGTAGATTGCTTCTGCAAACAAGCATAGCAAGTGGAGGGAAATCCATTATGTTCAGGCTTTTTATTTCCGGGGGTGGGGGCGGGGGCGGGGGGGAAGCCCAGAGACTAAGGTACTTAGAGGGGCCCCTGAGGACAAAAAGGAAGTTGATATCTTTCATCATCCTGTCCTCAGACACCTGTCTCTGAGGGGGATATGGTTGTCTCTCATCTGTTCAACAAAAACATACATACTGGATGGAATCTTCAACTTCCTCATTATAATCCTCAGGCCAGTAAATCAGTGCCCTTCCCCTCAAGTGACTCAGAAACTCCAGAGGTTGGAGTCCCAGTATTTTCAAAACATCCTAGGTTTGCAAATGGGTTTCAAAATTTGACCCTTCTTTTTGACCTACTGTGGTGACATATCCAGTTTCTCCTGGCCCTATGCTGCACCCTAGATAAAAAACAGAGTCCTAGAAGAGGACAGGAGATATGCAGATGAGCAATATGCTAGGTAAGAGCAGGAAAACACCTCAGAGAAGTTGTTATCCCTCCAGCAGGACCAAACTGTTAATTATGAAAAACTGAGGGAGGGTCACACCAGGCAAAGAAGAGAATCCAGCTGTTTTCCATACCCAGTTAGTAAAATCCTTTCATACACATGGACAGCCATCTAGGGAGGGAGGGCACTAATGGAACATCATTTCATTAATCAGTCAGTCCCAGATATTTGGTGCACCTTACAAAACCTTCAGATGGGCCCCAGCCTCCTGCGACCCAGTTGCTCGACATGGCCTTTTCTGTGTTCAACAATGAGGATCTAGATGCAGGTGAAAGAAAAGGACCATAATTTTGCGTGTTTCCGTTGGAAATGCTTTAAACACCCATGTCATCTAAGGGCAAGCCCCAGAACAATCAAGAAAAGCTTCCTGCTTTAAATGCAAGGAGACTGGACACTCGGTATGCGACTGTACCGAGCTATCACCCAGACCCTGCTTCGTGTGTCAGGCATGGCACTGGAGGACTGACTGTCTCCACTCCCAGAGAGTGGCTAAGCCAGCCAGAACCCCCATCACCTGTTCTGATAATGAGAACTGAAGGGGCCCAGGGCAATCTACAAATGTCCCTATCCATAGATGTCTAAGAACCCTGGGTGAAGCTGGATGTCATGGATAAACAAACTTAATTTTTTCGATTACTCTTCTAAAAACATTCCTCTAGCTCTTTAGCCATAGTTGGGGTTGAGGGGACCCTTAGTCAGAGCTTCTTTACACCCGGTCTGACACGTAAATTCAAAGATCAAATGTTGAAATATGCCTCTCCAGTACTGTGCCCATGGAATTGTCTAGAAAGGAAGCTGCTTGCTAACAAATAAGCAATACAACTCCTAGATGCGTTCTATCTCCCCAGGAAGGTCACTGTCATTCATTGCAAGGGACACCAAAGAACATGTCTAAAGTCTCCTTGGGAAATCAAAATACCGATAGACAGATAAGACCCTAGCCTTACTCCTAGTTCCTAAGGAACTAAACTGACCCTTCCTCGAGGGGTGCAGTGACAAGCAATAAACACCCTGCCTGGGAAATAGTCTCTCAGATTTTCATAGGACTAAGACTACTGTGAACCACTGAAAGACCTGATGGTGCTCTTCAGAAAGCAGGACTCCACCTTGGCTCTGAGTGCAAAGAAGTCATTGGAAATAGCCGTAGGTGGCCAATCTAACAACCCTCTGCCTCCACTGTCTCCTGACAAGTTCACCAAGCTCTCGTGTGTCAAAGGGCAGCATGACAGTTCTCCATGTAAAGACACTAATTAACGCTTTTCTCACTGTCTTCTGACAGGTTTTCCTCAGCCCAGCCCACTTTTGGTAGAAGGTAATTGGAGAGCATGTAATTCCCAGCAGGTAGGGCCTAAAGCCGCCTTTAGCAGGAAGTACGCATATGAAGACAGAGGTTAGGTCTCTGAAGCGGAAATGAGGTAAGTGACTAAGGCACAGCAGACTGGCCGAAGATTCAAGCAGAACCTGTCAGCCGCAGAGAGCTGTCAAGTCACGGGGAGATGCACGCACAGAGCAGCTTCGGAGCCCTGTGTGGGACAGCCCAGATCGGGTGTCAGAAAAAGATATAAAAACACAGTCACTGGCCTCACTGCCGCTGTCCTCTTGGTCTGACAGTGGCCTGCCCTGTGTGTGTGTTGTCTCCTTTCTTCAGAGCACTTCTTGCTCTTGAGCGCTTCCCTTTTGCACTCTTTTTTTCACTTTTCTGGCTCTTACCTTAAACATTGGACTTTTACATTCATCAGTTGTCCCATCCAGTTCTTTGAATGGGATAACAAAAGCCTGCAAAGGACCAGTAGACACCTCACTGTCTGGCAACAATAATGTTAAGTGAAATAAATCCCCTCCCGTCTTCAATCTCTGAAAGGTCTCTCAGTTCCTGAGAGAAAGCAGTGCATTTTAGGATGTTTCCTGGAGAGGGCGCCAAAGCACCATAGAATGCTAGATGGCCATGTGACACAAGTCAGCACAGGGCAGCCTGTGGACGCAGCAAGTCAGTCATGGTTCTTTTGGGTTCCCAGATTGTCTTCTCTCTCTCACAGCCTCTACCTAAGCCCCTCCTTCCTGTGCCAACGCACTGCCCACAGGCTGCCAAGCAGCTCCTCGCCCCCAGGCTCCAGCCAATCAAAAATGATCCTCCAATAAAAAGATCAGTACTCTTTTCAGTCACTTTGTATAGCTATTGTCATACGTAAGTGACAAATGGGTTTGCTATAAACCCATTGTGCCAGAATGGTGCTAGGTAATACTCTTCGGATGTAATATATGGTGTATTTTAACAGGTGCTCTCTGCAGATATATGTGGCGTTCCAGTCCACATATATCAGCAGGTGGGCATTCCAGATGCCAAAATCAGTGCAACTCGCCTTCCCTTTAGACCAACTGCATTTCATGGGTGATACAAAACACTGGTGCTCGCTCTAGTGAGTTTCTAGTAGGCTGAACACATAAAAGTGCTCATACTTCATTTTTTATCTCTAAAACAATTTCACACGCTCCAAAATAGTATTTCACCCACACTCAATTTCACTAGCTCTTTTTCTCCCTATCACATTGCTGCCCCCAAGTGCTGTTTTCACTCTTGCTCTACTCCCTCCTGGCCCTGTGTTGGTTTCGGGTTCCTGCTCCTTCCCTGGGCACACCACAGCCTCGTGGGGCATCTCCCCGGCAGGACAGCATATGTGTGATGGGGCTGGTCCCACCTGGCAGCTCCACAGCAAGTCTAT